TATGTAAGCCAAGTAAATATCTCACTGAAGTATGTGGACCAAAGTTTTACTTGAAATGCAATTTTGTTATATATTTTTTCTTATATTTCTCAATACAGGTTTTCCCTACAGAAAGTGTTTTTAGAAACGACCCTGGTTATATTGACGAATGATGAACAAGGAAGTACAATGGTGAGTTTATACGTCGACCAAAGAACACGGGCGAGTAACGAAAGTAGCAAAAATGTTGGGGCTTCTTTCGAAAGTCTTCCAAAAAACAACGCGGAAACGTATCATTATTTGGAAAATGAGAGTAGCCACGTAGGATACATAACGTGGGGTGACCATACACGTGGCGTAATGTGAGCCCCTAATTTACTGACGAAATCTAAGCCAAGAGTTTTGTGGCGAAGTTTCTGGAAGCAGAAGTGTTGTTTTTGGTCCACAGTTACGTCGGCAAAATTAGCCAGTAGGGTTGCTTTAATGATTTGAGATGACACGTCGCAGGCTCTGAGACGACGAATAAAGTGAGTCACCATGTGGGACCCACACAACCTGAGCTACCAAGTAGCAATCGAAAATGTTCTGTATATTTTTTTGGGTTCAATAATCTTTTTTAAATGTTCTGTATTTCGATAAAAAAAAAAAATGTTCTGTATATTATTATTTTGTAACGTAGGGAGATTTCAGATTTGAGAAAAAGAATAACAAAGCATAAACAGGATTTAATTTTTCAGTTTTAGCAAACTTTTGTAATAATATCTTACAAGTTACAAACCCTCTCGTTTCCATAATGAAATTCATATTCATATAAAAAACTTGAAGTCAAGCACAGTGTGTGTGTTTTTATGTCAAATATGTGCTCAATGTTTCTTTTTGAGAAATTTTTTTCAGTTTTAGCAAACTTTTGTAATAATATCTTGCGATGTTTCTTTACAATGTTCTTTTTATATAGAAGAAAATCATAGAATTAACACCACACATAATAGGCTTTGGCGCGGATCGGATATGCGGAAAAAATGCAGTATTTGTGATTGGATTTGTTTTTGACGGATATCTAATTTTTCGATTTGTTTTGCTTAAAAAAATTTTGGATATCCGGAATGACGGATATCCAGATATTTTCTGGATATTTGCGGATATCTGTTTTAAACAAAAAAAAAAACATTAAAACACCATAATATGTTTTTCAAAAAAAATTTTAATATAAAATTTAAACTAATTAATCAATAAATATATGAAATGGTTCTAATTTTATTCGATAAATTGTTTAAAAATAAAAAATGAAAGATTAAAACGGTGAATATCTATCTAATTTGACTAAAAATATATTCACCAAATATATTTAAAAGTAAAAAAATATAAATATACGTTATAAATTTATCATATTATATATATGAGTAAATAATATACGGATCGGATCGGATATTCAGATTTTTAAAGTTAGTTTTTGTGATTTGCTTCGGTTTAGACGGATACTAAATTTTATTATTTGCTTTGCTTTTATTCAAAACAGATATCTGGATTTTTCGGT